GGCTGCAACCAAAAAATAGCGGGGCGTTGTGGCGGGCGCCTGTGGTCCCAGCTACTTGGGAGGTGGAGGCAGGAGACTCGCTTGAGCCCAGGAGTTGGAGGTTGCTGTAAGCTGTGAGGCCACAGCATTCTACCCAGGGGGACAGCCTGAGGCTCTGTCTCAAAAAATAAATAAATAAATAAATGTCAGCCTCCCAAACTGCAACTGCTTTCTTGCCCTAGTCCTTAAAAGGGCTTCACTTCACCTACAAAAGTTGGCGGGGGGGGGGGGGGTTTGACAAGAGCCTTACTCTGTCACCCTGGGTAGACAGCAACCTTAAACTTTTGGGCTCAAGCCATCCTCTTACCTTAGCCCTTCCTCCCACCCTAGTAGCTGGAACCATAGGTGCAGTTATAAAGCCCAACTGGTTTTTCTATTTTTAGTAGAGGCAGGGGTCCCTCTCTTGCTCAGGCTGGTCTAAAACTCCTGAGCTCCAGAGATCCACCTTCCTGGGCCTCCCAGAGTGCTGGGAATTGCAGGCAGGAGCCACCCACCCCTGCCACCCCTTCTCCCCCGCCTGATTTTTGTTGTTTTTATGCACCTCCTTCCTAAGAGGGAAGGGTCTCTAATTAGGAGTTGGTAATCTAATAAACAAACTAAATTCAAAAGACTGTTAGTCAAGTAAATCTGCCGTCAGAACTCAACTTTCTGACTTTTAGCTGTCTGGCTATTTTGAAACCCTTTGTAAGAGAAATTTACATCTATAAAGGAAATCTCCATTTGTAAGAACATTCCTCTCTTTTCGCCCCCCTCCCACCACACACACACACACACACACACACACACACACACACGAAGACAGTGGCTTAAAGTTTACAAAACAAACCATACCTTTGCTCAAGGTACTCTTCCTGGCTATCTTATCTTAATTGGGCCTTTACCTAAGTCCCTCTTTGTCTCAGAAAATAATAGTGTTTAGACTTAAGTTCTGTGCCTTTGAGAGGTAAATTTTCCACCTTGTTCCACCTAGGAGTCACATCTTTGGAATTGCAAATTTAGAGTTTCTTAAACTAACTCTTGTTCCGAGCAAGGGAACAGGTGGACCAGAGACTGAGCAGACCACAGGGTGCTACCTATAATCCCAGCGCTTTTAGTGGTTAGGGTGGAAAGATCGCTTGAGGCCAGGAGTTTGAAATCAGCTTGAGCAAAAGAGAAAGACCCCCTTATACACAACAGTAGTCTTAGCTACCTGGGAGGCTGTGGCAGGGAGTGCTTGAGCCCAGGAGTTCAAGGCTGCAGTGAGCTGTGATGATGATGCCATCCCTCGGCAACAGAGACCTTGTCTTTAAAAAAACAGAGCCGAGCGTGGTGGCTCACACCTGTAATCCCAGCACTCTGGGAGGCCGAGGCGGGTGGATTGCCTAAACTCATGGATTCAAGACCAGCCCGAGCCAGAGCAAGACCTCCTCTTTAAAAAAAAAAAAAGAAAAACAAACAAACAAAAAAAACAGCCAGGCATTGTGATGGGCACCTGTAGTCCCAGCTACTCAGGAGGCTGAGGCAAGAGAATCCCTTGAACCCAAGAATTTTGAGATTGCTGTGAGCTATGATGTCACAGTACTCTATCAAGAGGGACAAAGACTCTGCCTCAAAATAAATAAAACATTAAAAAAAAAGAGAGGGATTGATAATCTGAAGGAGAACAAATTATTTGAAAACTGGTGTCAGATACATGAAAAGAAAAAAGACACAACCAGAACCCCAGAAGGTGATAGCTTGTAGGATAAATCACAAATCTGATCCAGAACATTTTTTTCAGACTGAACTCTAGGTCTCACTCTCTTGCAGCTTTTAAACAATTGTCTTTTAAATCAAGTCAAATCATGTCCTTGCTCTAAGATCCAACATCATAAATATTGAAGCTGTTGTCATCAATGCCAAACAGCCGCACAGACAACTCCTGAAGGAGCCTTCCCAGCTCCATGGGGACCTCCTGATGGTCACTGGTCTGCACAGGCCACACCTTGGAATCTTTGGCCAAGAGGGGGAAAATGGAGGACTGAACTTTGACCTTTTTTTCTTTTGCCAAATTTCTTTCTACAGAGGACTGGTAAGTCACACCTTACAAACCATAACATTTCATTGAATGGGTTTATTTTGTTCTTTTGATCTTTTTAGAGGCTAAGTCTTTGTCATCCAGGATGGAGTGCAGCAGCAAGATCATTGCAGCCTCAAATCCTTCAGCTCAAGCGATCCTCCTGTCTCAGCCTTGCAAGTCGTTGGGAACACAGGTGTGTACCACCATGCCCAGCTAATTTTTAAAACTTTTCTTAGAAACAGGGTCTCACTATATTGCTCAGTCTGGTTTCAAACTCCTGGGCTCAACTGACCCTTCTAACCTTGTCTCAGCCTCCCACAGTGCTAGGATTACAGGCATGACCCACTGTGCTTGGCCTTGACTCTAATTCTTTACACAAAGCTTAACTCTTTCACCCAGTTGCCACCTGAAGAATCCCTAAAATCCACCTGTGACTTGTAAGCCTCCACTTCTAGATGTCCTACTTCTTTTTTTTTTTGAGACAGAGCCTCAAGCTATCCCCCTGGGTAGAGTGCTGTGGCTTCACAGCTCACAGCAACCTCTAACCCCTGGGCTCAAGCAAGTCTCCTGCCCCAGCCTCCCAAGTAGCTGGGACCACAGGCACCCACCACAACGCCCGGCTATTTTTTGGTTGCAGCCGTCATTGTTGTTTGGCGGGTCCAGGCTGGATTCGAACCCACCACCTTAGGTGTATGTGGCTGGCGCCTTAGCCACTTGAGCCACAGACGCCGAGCCAGATGTCCTACTTCTTTAAGCCAAACCAATGTTTACCTTCTAGGTAATAATTTATGATTTACTTAGCTGCCTTGGGCACACTTTTCGGGGCCTCTGGAGATGGTGTTCCTGGGGACAGAATAAGTCTCTTTAAATATCTTGGCAGAACTTAGTTTTTCTGTCAACCCTGGTAAATGAAGAATCATGTAGAAGCTGTAAGATCTGCTTCTGTCTATATATCTCTGTGTTCACACATCTATGTGCAGATATCTCACGACCAGCACGTATGAAGAATCAAATGACTTGAAGAAAAAGAGCTTATATCAAATACTTTACCAGGAAAATAAAAATGAACTTTAATGCCTTTTCGCTTCACTTGGATTAATCTTTGGTAAAATTAGTTTAATACTGTTGATTTAATGAAAGGAGCTGTTATCTTCTGATCAGAAAACACCCACGTATTTAACTTTAGGTGAACCATCTGCAGGCTAAAAAAATGAATGTAAGTGGGAAAGTTTATACATGAACTTGTCATCACTTTGAAAACCTTTCACTGCTTGGCGCCCATAGCTCAGTGGTTAGGGTGCCAGCCCCATACAACAGGGCTGACAGGTTCAAAACCAGCCTGGGCCTGCTAAACAATGACAACTACAACAAAAAATAGCCGGGCGTTGTGGTGGGCACTTGTAGTTCCAGGTACTTGGAGGCTGAGGCAAGAGAATCATTTAAGCCCAAGAGTTAGAGGTTGCTGTGAGCTGTGATGCCATAGCACTCTACCAAGGGCGATAAAATGAGACTGTCTCAAAAAAAAAAAACCCACCTTTTTCCAGTAATTTAAAGTCATATTAGACAAATTATTGATAAGCATGAAACGTTAGTCATTTCTTAAAATACTGAAGCAGTAATTAAACATAAGTGTAAGTTGGTATATTTTGGCATTGTATTTTTATATGGTATAGAAAAATTAAGTATGTTTAGATCTATTAATAAACAGAAAATTGAAACATCCTTCTAAAAATGATGTTTTTCATCTACAAATACTCATATAAAACAGTTCAAAATTACTTCCTAGATTTTTCACTAGAAATTGTTATTAAGAATTAAAATTGTAGCCAATATATGTAATTGAACCTACTACGTATGAGAGAAACAATTCTGTATATAGTGTATAGGAACAATAAGATGTGGTTTTGATAAAGATTATAAAGAAGGCATGAGAATGGTTTTTTAAAAAGGAAAAGCAATTTTGTCTAGAGGTTTTTTAAGATTGTTTTAAGTTGAGGGCTAAGAAAAGAAAGATAAAAATGAGTGGGTACAGAGTGGGAAGAGAGGAGAATGAGAAAACTGGGAACTCCCAACAGGCTGTAACAGATTTATGGCCGTCTTATCTTGCAAGTTCAAAGCGATTGGGATGGAGCTGACCAGCATCCCTCTGGCAGCCCACCCCTAGGAACTCCACCCTCAGACAGCAGAAGGCTCACAGTGGATTATAAAAAAAAAAAAAAAAATCAATGGGTAAAGCTTTCAGACAACGTTTAACCTTTCCTGGCCTCAGGCCCTTCCACTTACTTATCTCTTCCCAGTGTGGAAAGATCAGCTTTCTCCCTTTCAAATAACAACGGGAAGGCCCAGCACCTGGGTAAGGGAGTCAAGGAGCCCTTAATTCGACATTCCTCCTTATTGCCTCAGCCTTATACCTTCATACTAAAATTTCTAAATTAACTAACAGTTTTTTAAACAGCAAGCTTCTTGGGAGATGAAAGCATCAAAGATCAAGGAGGATCAACCTGGAGGTCTTGTTTATTGAAAAAGCCATCAGATAAAGGTTCCCTCCCATATTGGCAGCCTGGGTGGATGTCTGCATCAGGAGATCTTCACACTTTCTCCTTCAGGCCAGGACAAGAAGTACACGAAATGTTTCTTTGATTGCCTTGAGGAATAGGAACACTTTTCAGATCCGGATTTCAAACTTCGTTAATAATTGTCTTTATTTGTGTCATATCATGTATTCTTAAATTGATTTTGCCCTATATTTCTAGTGTCTAATGTTAAAAATACAAACACTGATCGTGGTAGTCCAACACTTGGAAGCCACCCAGCTTTGTCAGGGGCTGGCCTGAGATCCCCTCCTCCCTAGCTGTTACCATCTACTTGGCCTTGAGCCCTGGCTGAGTCTCCAGGCCACAGCACAGACAAGATACAGATGCGATTACCTGAAGTGAGCCTTCCCTCTGACTGGGACAAGTTTACATCTAATGTGTGGGTGATTAGTTCTTTCACAAGAGAAAGATTTTGATCAAAGAGGGTAAATGAAAGAAAAATAGCTCAGAGCCCTCAGAGCTGAGTGAGGTATTCAAAATTTATCAGGTCCAGAGAGATAAAGCTATGGGACTTCAGCCATACCCTCCCCCGTGCCCGGAGCAATGTTTAAAGGCGTTTTGTTCTTTCCTGTAATTTCCTAACTTGCCGCCTTACTCATTATCTTCATATTCCTGAATTTCGTGATTGAAAAAATACCGTGTCCAATCAGTAGCTCATGTTATTTTAATGTAAGTTCTTGGTGAACAATTAGGAATTGCACCTTTTCCTTAGAAAACCCACTACTTGGGGCTCTAGTTTCACCACGACACTCTAGCTTGGGCACCGGAGGGGACCGTCTCCATCACACAACCACTGCTAGGAGCAGGGCGCAGTGACTCAGGGTTGTAGTCTCTCTCAGCTGCTTGAGAGGCTGAGGCGGGAGGATCTCTTGAGCTCTGGAGATGGAGGCTGCAGTGACGCACTCCCTCACTCCAGCCTGCGGACAGGGCGTTATCTCTCTCCAAACGACAACAAACCCATTGCTGCAAATGGGGGCGTTTATTCAGGGCAACCTGCGTCCCGGCCGCAGGGCTGCAGTCCTCGAACTTGGTCCAAATAAACTCTCCAC